GGTGGCTCCGATGGAGCGGAGGTGGGTGGCGGTGGGGCGCACAGGGTGTCATGATAGCCAGAACTTAGGATTTACCAGTTGGTATCGGACGTTGTTCCAGGTGCTTAGCATGAATGAGCTGATTTAATTCTCACAAGAACTCTGTGAGAAGCCAGCAGCACTACTCCCACTATAACAGAGAATCTAAACAACGTCCTGTCAAAATTACCTCATTGATTCCTCATAGCATCCGTTCAGCTAGTTTTTGATGTGCAAGCATGGTATGAAGCAAAAATTTTGAATAAAATGATAGTGCTTTGAATTTAAAGTGTATGTACACGTGTGACCACTATGTGATTAAAAGTCTATAGTTCATTTTTACATAAAATAATGCTTCTTGGATTTGATGAACAAAACTGCTGGACTTAACACAGCATGTATAGTGAGAGTGTAATTTCATCAACAAGAAGACACAAAAATAATGACGAATTGCCAATTGAGATGTCATAAAAGATATTCAAGGCTCTAAATATGATCACCAATATCATAACAACACCACTCCAGCAGGGGAACCACTTCCACGTGTTGAACCTCGGCAACAAATCGTGTTGGAATTTTAATTCCTTCCAGAAATACCACATCTGAGGCCATCTGTAGTTATGAGAGTTATTTTAAAAGTTCACTCAAAATAAACTGTGTAAATAAATAAGGTGGTGTATTTTAAAAAATTTCAGTGGGTTCTAGTTTTTACAGTGTTCAAACTGCACTTCTTTTATCGAGCACATGTTCGTAGGAAATATAATACAATAATTTTATTGAGTGCACTTAGGATAATCATCAAAAAGTAGGTTAATTTGTGGCTGCAATTAACTTTTTGTATTTCATTGTAGCTCTAATAATATGTTTCTTTAATATTCACCCATTTATTTCTTTTTAAAATAAATGTTTTTCTTATTTTAAAATGTATATTTTCAAGTCTTATGGAATATTCTTGATAAGTTCCAGTTGTCCACACAAGAAGAATGGTTAAGTAGTATATAAATGAGCATTATTGTTATAACAAGCCTCTATTGTATGAATTAAATGAATTTTAATAAAAACAACATTAGTCCCTTCCTTTACCATGTTTTAGCAAATTAAAAAGCGAGATAGGGTTTCGTTCGTGCAGAATTATTAAAAATATAGTCCTTTCTTTTTAGTTATACCAATAGGAAACCACATGATCAGGAGCCTTCAATCCTATTTGAACACAGTTTTCTTTTCCTTCAGATTTTTTGTTTAAAACATCAATAACAGACATAATTCGGAGCATATAAGGCTATTCTAAGGTTCCCATGGCTACCCAGGTGCACTTGAGTCTCCCACAGGGCGGTGCAATGTATCTTCTGTTTGACTGCAATATTGGGGGCAAAAATCAATCTTAGTTGATTTACTATACATTTTATGCTGAACCCGTACATATGAAGAGGAAAATAGCCATGTGGGTGACTGAGGATCTCAGCACTTTCATCAGGATTAAATCCTGCGGATGGCTAATATTCAAACACCCAGGACACATCAGCAAATCTTAGAGTGCTGGGTGCAGCAGAGCATTATAGGAAGAAGTGGTAGGAAGGACATCTTAGGTGAACAAATGTTCAAGAGAATGCGGGGTCATATTTTGGTGACATTGAAGGGACCAGCCTGACTCACTGGGCAGTAGCAAACCTTATTCTGCATTCCCAGATGCGAGGTTCCTGAAGACAAGCTGAAAATAATCAACCAATAATTATTATCCAGAGAGTCTGAACAATAGTAGAAGCTATAGTTTTTATTATTTTACCTATAGTAGATATATTTCACCTTTAATGAAACTCT